AGGACCCAACACCACGGGATGGCTGGGAGAAGTTGGCCAGAGGTGTGGGTGCCTCTCTCTCCCCGTCCAATCTGCACAGCCCTACGCTGCGGCCGCGGAGCCCTCCGTGCTCTCGCTCGCACGCCCCGCTCGCCTCGTCCCCCGTCCTGCGCCGCCCTGCCTGGCCTCAGGTCGGGCGTGCCCCCCCCCCCCCCCCTGCAGGCGGATTTCGGGCGAACATTTTTTTTTTTCAAAATGGTCAACAAAATACTGCTCAAAAGTGGTCAGAGATGATCAGAACATCGTCCCCAAACTATATATACATATATATATGTATATATGTATGTATGTTTGTATGTATGTTTGTATGTATGTTTGTATGAATGTATGTATGCATGTATGTATTTATGTATGTATGTATGTATGTATATATACATGTAGGTATATATATATATATATATATATATGTATGTATGCATGTATGTATGTATGTACGTACGTACATACGTACGAACGTACGTACGTACGTATGTATGTATGTATGTATGTATGTATGCATGTATGTATGTATACGTATGTATATATTTATACACACACTTTTTTTTTACTTTTCCTCCTGTAGAGGGACATGCCCGACTTAACGCCGGGCCACGGGCCTCGAGCAGCCGAGCGTGCGCCTCTCCGGCCCTCCCCCCTCCCAGCGCGCGCACCACGGCCACGACGGGGCCCCATGGGGCCGTGGAGCCGCGGGCGCTCGGGTCGGCTCTCGAGCCCTGCCCGCGCGGCCTCTTGGACTAAGGTCGGGCGTGTCCCTCTACAGGAGGAGTGTGCAGAACATGATTTCAAACATGGTCAGGGGACCATGTTCCGATCATTTCTGGGCATGTCCGAGCATGTGTGGATCATGTTTTATTGTCCGTCCCAAATCCCCCTGTACGGGGACGTGCCCGACCTGACCCTTGGGCCGTCTTGGGGCCATCTTGGGCACCAGTGAAGCCCCGGGAGGCCTCTGGAAGCATGGCCCCGGCCTGGCCTGGCCCCGACCTCAGCCTGGCCCCAGCCCCCGCTTTCCGCGGCCTGCGCCTTCGCCCTCGCCGACGCGCGCCCCCGGCTCCACCCGGCCCTGGCGCCCTCGACCCTCGCACCGGCCAGCGTCCCCGAGGAGGAGCTCACAGGGCAGGGCTGGGCCTACGCGCTGTTTTTCGTCTTGTTTTCGCTTTGCTCTTCCTCTTGCAACGAAAATCACAAAACACGGCCGCAGCCCAGCAAAACAGCGCTTCGTTTCGGCCCAGCCCTGCTCCAGGGCGTCGAAGGGCCATCCCCGGAGGGCCCCCCAGGAGCGGGCCCCCAGTCCTTCCCCTGCCGGCTGCACGCAGGAGTGGCGCGAGACGAGGGTGGCCTTCAGCGCGCGGCATCCAGGGGCCGCGGCCGGCCAAATCCAAGCGCGCAGGCCAGTGCTGGGGCACCTGAAAGCCAGCACCAGCGGTCACTCTGGCGAAGGGCCACTCTTGCGCGCAGTCGATTGGCAAGGCTTCGGGTTGCGCACAACTTGCCCCCCCCCTCCTGGGCAGTCCCAACAGGCCTCAACAGGCCCCCCGAGTGGCCAGGGGCGGTCTCAACACTCCAACCCTAGGGCGCGGAGCGCCCCAGAGTCTTGAGACCGCCCGGGACTATTCGGGGGCCTGGTTGCGGCCAACTGGAACTACTCGGGGGGCCTGTTGGGGCCAGCTGGGACGACCTGGGGGTTGTCCGTGCGCAGCCCGAAGCCTTACCGTACCACGTGCATCCGATGGGACGCAAAAGGACGTACTAGTACTACGCGCCCTCCTCGGAATCACAAGTCCGAACCGAACACGTAGCACAAACATCGTATGGTCTTTCAGCTCCCGAATGGTATGGCCACACAGCGCCCACCACGGAGCATATACTGCAAGATTTCCCGGCGCACGCGTCGCTTTTTTGGGAGCGACACGCACATATAGTATTCCTATCATTGGGTGAAGCCGAATCGATCCTCTTGCCCCCTCGCAAGCCTCCTCGAGCAAGAGCCAGCGGTCCCGTGTGCCGCCAGTGCCGCTCCGGGCGCGGCAGGCCCGAGGAGGGGCGGCCACGGGAACGCACCTCGAACGGGCAAGGGCCACGACGCCCAGCGCCGCGGGCAGACCTTGAGCGGCCGGGCGTGCCCGACCGGCCTGCACTGGGATGGCCGCGGGAGGTGCTGATGGGATGGAAAGGGTACAGGTGGATACCCAGGAGGGTTCTATCGGGCGTGAGCTAACATTCGAGTGGATGGTACGTGCCCTGAGTGGCCTGGGTGGGTGCGGAAACTCCGCTAACTGGGCTGTCCAGATCTCAAGCCACCTTTTAGCTGTGGTAGGCCATGTACATAAGCCACCTTAGCATCCACGTCTTACCTCCCTATCCCCTCAGCAAACCCCGCGGTCATTCCTGCAGCAGCCTGGGGCGGCCTGGCCTCGAAGCGCTCTCGAGAGGGGCAGATCTAGAGAACACGGGGGGGGGCGACAACTGCGCAAGCATGCGTAAGCTTTCGAAAGTCCGCGCGCACTCCTTCGGCCCAGCACCGATCCCCAAAAAACGCGCGGACTTCCCGAAAGCTGTGTGTTGTGCAGCTTTCGCTTCTTCTTCTTCTTCTTCTTCTTCTTCTTTTTACCATCGAATGGCCTTCGTGCCCCCGCGCCACAAGTCTGGAGAGGGACATCTCCCCAGCCCAGCCCCCGCGAGGCACGGAGCGCGTCTTGTCTTGGCGCCCCCAGGGCCGCCAGGGTGGGTGGGTTCGCGGACGTTTGACCCCCCCCCTGTGCACTGCGTCTCTCCGCTCCGCCTCCGGTCCCATCGTCGACGAGGCTCTTTCGATGCTGCATCGTTCGCAACTTGGCCCGACGGTTTTTTGGCGCGGCAAAAGGCGCGCGCACGCTGGTCGGAGAAAAAAGAAAAACATGAAATAGGAAGGCGGACGAAACTGATTGCTTGAGACCCTCCCAAAAGCACAAAACAACAAAAACAACAAACGTGCATCGAAAAGGGCTTGCACTTGTTCTTTGCCTTGGCCTTGGCCAAGTCGTTGTCGCTGGCCTCCTTGAACATGTTGATCTACTCGCTGCCTCGGGCGCACGTCGTGCTGATGCTCACGGGCGCGTGGCGGAGCAGCCGCGGATGCAAGCTCGTTCCCACTTGCATGCAACGCCCAGCTCACTTTAGAGTCGGGGGCGAGGGAGGCGAGGCGTGAATCCGCCGCCTCTATACAGCAGATACAACAGCGACTATCTACAAAACGGGCAGCAGAAGGGCGGGGCCGTAAGGAAGGTGGACCCGCACGCAAGTTGCCTTGCCTGTACTGCTCTGTACATAAAGATACTCCTCGGGCGGCCACAGAACAGGATGTCTGGCCAGCCCGATCGGGAGTATGACTCTTTGAACCTTGTCTGAAGGATCGTATACCTCCCATGACCTGTAGGAGCATCTCTCTGTCGATGCTCCCCTTGGTGTGACCGTCCGCAGTCATATCGCGGGTGTCGCACCACTGAGTACTGTGCACGATTCCACGCTCCATCATCTGTCGTATTCAAGTGATGTGTCCTCCCGGGGTTTTTGCTCGTGCCCAAGGTGGCCTCAAGACGGCCCAAAAGTCCGTGCGGCGGGGCTCGAAAACCGATCCCGAGCGCCCGCGGCCCCGCGGCCCCATGTGGCCCTCGGCCCGCGGCCCCTGGTGCGCGCGCCCTTGGTTAGGGGAGGCCGGCCCGGAGCGGCGCACGCACTCTGCTGCTCGAGGCCCGCGTGTGGCCCAGCGCGAAGTCGGGCCTGCCCCTCTGCATGGAGAGCATTCAAAAATAGGCAAACAACAAATAGTCTGGGGACGATGATTTGACCATTTTATAGAGGGCCAAAAAAATCCACCCCCATAGTGACCACCCCGACACGCGAAACCGTTTACTAAACGCCCCCACTGAAGGAATCGAGCGCGGCAGGGCTGCTTAGCAAACGCCCGAGGCCGTTGAGTAAACGCCAATTGTCCGGTCCGCTTGGTTTTTCCTTCCTTGATTTTTTGGCTATTGTTAGGGTGCGTGTGTGTATATACATATATATATATATATACACATTGATTATCCTTCATTTCTCGCCCAGGATCCGCCTGTATGGGGGACATGCCCGACCTGCGCCCGGGGCGGCAGCCCGTGCGTGGGCGAGGGGGGGCCTCCCTGCCCCGGGCCGGTCGTTTCGGCCGCTGGCGCTCTTCTCGCGCCTTGCGCTTCGCGCCTCGCGCCACGACGACGACGACGACGACGAAGACGACGACGACGACGACGACGGCGGCGACGACGGCGACGGCGACGGCGACGGCGACGGCGACGGCGACGGCGGCGACGGCGGCGACGGCGACGGCGGCGGCGGCGGCGGCGGGTCTGCCGCCCTGGTCACCCTGACGCGGTCCCCAGGAGCTCCACTCCGCCACGCAGCTTCCCCAGAGAGCTGATCATTCTGCCCGCATGCCAGCGCGAGTCTGCACCCGCTCACTGGGTTCCTCAGCGCGCCCCAGCAGCGGGAGGGCCAGGAGGGCCCGAGAGTCGAAGCAGCTGCCGCCCCGGGCCCCTCGTGGCCTCCACTGGCCAGATTGGCAACGGCAGTGGAGCAAGCCGTCGGGGGCCTCCCCGCAAGGCACAGTGCTTCGACTCGGCGGGCCAGCAACTGGCTCGTCGCACTCGCAGCGTTCAGCCCGTCGCGTTCGCAGTGGTCGCGGGATCCGCAGTTCGGGCGCTGACACCGAGAGTACCCGATTTCAGACTGTCGCTCGCCCGCAGTGCTTTGTAGCGGTTTGCGTTTCCTTTCGGCTGAGGGCGAATGAGCGCCATCCTCGGCAGCCAGTGTCGATCAGTCAACTGGGCGGTATTCCAAGTCCAAAGCGCAAGAGGCCCAGCACGCTGTCCACCGATTGCGACCTGGCCTCGGTATGCATCGCCCTTTTGGGCTCTGGCGGCTCGCAACAGGCAGCTAAGGCGCCGGACATATGAAGATGGTGTGGCAACGGGGTAGGGCGCGCTTCCTGCGGAGACAAAGGCGATGGCATGGGGATGGGAACGTCGAGAATAGGACTGCAGAGCTCGCAGGAAGTGGCACTGCGCGCGAGAGCGAGCGGGAGAGGGAAAAGGGGAGGAGGTGGAGGGGGCGGGGGAGGGGGGAAAGGGAAGGGCGAGGAGAGAGAGGGGGAGGGAAAGAGGGAGGATGTAGGGGAAGGGGGCGAGGGTGAGGGGGAGGGGAAGGGGGGGGGAGGGTGCTCCTTCCCCTCCTCATGACTTATCCTGCTCTCTCCTCCCATCCTCGCCCCCCTCCGCCGTCTCATTACTCTCCGTCACCTCCTCCGCCCTCCTCCGCCCTCCTCCTCCGCCCTCCTCCTCCTCCTCCTCCTCCTCCTCCCTCCTCGCTTTCATCCGCCACCTCTTCCTGCCCCCCCCTCCCCACCCCCCATGAACAACCACGAACGAAGATGATAACGACACGAAGCGCTACTCGTAGCAGCAACTGGGCCGTGGAAAAGCTGCGCAAAACCGTGGACATGCAAAAGACAAACCAAGAACGGAAAGCGTGGAAGAGCGTCTGCGGAGCAGGGCGAGACGGCTGACGAGACGAAACCCTTTTTGTTCGCATGCGCTGGCGATCGCACAGCGCGGTCGGGGCGGCAGACCAGGGCGCGGAGTCGCAGATTACAGTGGAGGCCCGTCCACAAGAAACCTTCCACAAGAAAACCAACCCCGAGACCCCAGGACGTCGATTGATCTTTGGTGTGGGAACGCGAAGTTTTCAATAGCAAAGCCATCGAAACCCAAGAAACCCAGGGCACACTGGAGGCAAGCAGGGTGTTTCTTGGCATGGGCCTCCACTGTAAGCGCGTGAGGCACGGGGACGTGAGCGGGCGGCCGCCGAGAGAGCGGAGGAGGTGCGTGCGCTCGAAAAACGTGGAGACCTCCACGAGCAGTGCGGCGACGGAGGGCGGAAAACACGACGACAAAGACACCCCCAGCGACGACACCTACGATGACCAGCGACGAAGCATGCGAGGGACCGAGCGGGAATGCCGGGGGCGGACCGGCCCAAGGAAAAGTTGAGCCTGCATCGGGGACCGGCCCAGGGGGGACAACAGTCTGACCTTTGGAGGTCGGGCGTGTCCCCCTACAGGCGGGTTTTGGGCGAAAGAAATTCCCCCCAAATATTCCCAAATGGTCAGAAATAGTAAGACAATCGTCCCCCAGACTATTCTTAAAACTATTTTGGAATCTTCCTCATGTAGAGGGACGTGCCCGACTTACGCCTACGGTCAACCCGTATAATAAGGACCCCCGATAAGGATGCAAGGGCCTTGGAAGGCCATTTCGAGGCTTCTCGAGGGGGGCGCGGCCAGCGAAGGTGGCCAAGGATGTGCCGAAGGGGGAGGGATGCAAGGGTGCCCTTGGGGAGGCTGCCCATTCTTATTCTTTGGGTTGACTGTATTTTCTGATTCCCCCCTGCGAGTGCACAGACGGAACACGATGACGACGACAACGACGACGGCGACGGCGACGGCGACTGCGACGACTGCGCCTGCACAGACAGAAGAAACGGTGAAGCGCGGCCGCGGAGAAGGGCGAAACGGACGACGAAACACGACGATAACGACGACAACGACGACGACCGCGATGGCGACGGCGACTGCGACGACCAGCAACGACTGGCGAAAAAAGCACGAGATGGGCGACGGCCGCCGACTGGCGCCGCGGTGGTGGTGGTCGTCGTCGCCATCGCCGTCGTCGCCGTCGTCGTCCTCGTCGTCGTCGTCGTCGTCGTCGTCGAGGTTGAGTTCGTCGTCGTCGTCGTCGTCGTCGTCGAAGTCGTGCCGAACGACGACGGCCGAAAGCGGCCGGCGACGACCGGCGGCAAGGAGCCGACGAGGGCGGGGGGGTCCTGCGGGCCCAACATACCGAACACGTCCAAACAGCTCGATACTCGATCCTCCTCTTCCTCCATCCTCCCCTGGATCCTTCTCCTCCTTCTCGATCCTTTTCCTCTTCCTCCTCGATCCTCGTTCCCCGATCCTCCTCCTGCTCCTACTCGAGGGGGGGTCCTGCGGGCACCTGCCCGGGCGCCGCCGCGTAGACCACCCGCGGCGCGCTGGGGGCCTGGACGAGGTAGGGCCCGGGCGCCCTGGCGCCGGCGGCCTCGGCGGGGGCTCCCCGAAGGAGAAGGCTAGAGATAAGCAGCTGGACGCTTGCAATTTTGTCCTCCTCCTCCTCCCTCCTCCTCCTCTCCCTCCTCCTCCTCCTCCTCCTCCTCCTCCTCCTCCTCCTCCTCCTCTTCCGCCGCCCTCTCCTCCTCCTCCTCCTCCTCCTCCTCCTCCCCCGCCATTTGACCGACGGGAAGAATGCGGGTCTTACGCGAGAAGGCATCGCGACCTCATGCCGAGGCCTACGCGGGCCGCCCGCCTGGCACAGCGCGCGGAGAAGAGGGCGCTTGCGCGCGACCCTGCGCGGGAAGCTTGCGCGTGGGTGTCCGCACGGTCGGCCCTGCTTTTCTGCATCGCTCCTTGGCCGCCGCGCCTCTCTCGTCGCGGCATCCTTCTCTGGAGCCATCCTTGCCCTTGCTAAGCCGGCCTGCCGTTGTTAGAGATCTCCCGATTAGGATCCGAGTAGATGGTGTCAAGGATCCCGCCGAATCGGCCATGCATCGGCGATGCAGCGGCGACGTCGACGTAAAGAACATCGGGATCCACATCGGCTCTGACCCCATCAGCGATGCTGCGCGATCCACGACCTGGCTCTGACCCCAGATGCTGGCACAGCTCATGAGAGGGTAGGGGGAGGGGCCCGGCAGGGGGGAAGGCTTCTTAGCAGGAGGCTGCTTCTTAGAAGGCGCCAGCCCTACATATATAGAGAAGGCCCGCGCCTTCTGAGAAGCAAGGGTGCTTCTAAGAAGCTTCCCCCTCACCGCCAACACTGAGCATTGGGGGGAGCATTGACATATTAATGCGGCATGAGTGTTCTGACCCCATCGCCCTGCGCGCCTGGCTGCTGCTGCTCCCCCAGCTGCTCATCGTCGAACTCTTTGGCGTCTGAGCGTCCCTTCTTCCTCTCGGCCGTCCCCCCTTCCCCCTCTGCTCGCTGGCCACTTCGCCAGTTAGTGCCCCCATCTAGCTTCTCGCTGGAGCAGAGCTCGCCGCCTCGCCGCTGACGGAAAAGTGCTCTGACCCCATCTGGGCGGACTGGACCTCGGACCTGCCCTTGCGCAAGTGCTGGGGGGCTGCACCGCCCTCGCAGGCCTCGGGACAAAAAGGGCTTCCCGCACCTCCGGGAGAAACAGCCAGAGCCCCGGGGAACAGAGTCCCGTCGCCGCCGTCGGCCTCCGGGGGCCCTCGCCGGGCCCCAGGGAAGCCAACGAGACGGCTCAGGAAGCCCCTCCTCCACCACCACCTCCTCCTCCTCCTCCTCCTCCTCCTCCTCCTCCTCCTGGGTCGCCCAACTTCGCGCACTCGCGCCGCCCCCCTGGAGAAGGGCAGCCGCTCTGGCCCTGATCGCGGCGCGCCAAGTGCGATTACATCTCCGCGCCCCCGCGGGTGACCTGGGGGACTCCTGGGGACCCCTTGGTGGCAGCACATAGCTCTAACATAATATCGTTGCCCGAGCGGTATGGCCAGAAAGCGCCCTGCGGATCCGGCGCGGACTGCGAAAGCAACACAAATGTCGTCTGCCCTCAGATCCAGGCGGTGCAATTTTCTCACTTCGGGCGTTTTCGCCTAGCATCGGGGCCCCGGGACCCTCAAGGGCCGTTGCGGTTTGAAAAATGCAGCAGAAAGGAAGTGGTCGAGAGCGTCGGCCATGATTTCCGACGGTGTCGACTTTGTTCACAACGTGGGATCTCAGTTGCAAGAGTCCTGGAGCGACCCTCGGGATACCGATCGTCGGTCGCCGACGATGACGACGTCGCCGACGACGACGAACATTTCAGCGTCGTCTGGCGGCGCGCACAGGGGGGGGGGGGCGCCATTCTACCACGGCCCTGGGGCTTCTAAGAATGTAGGGGGTTTCCCAGAAAACGCGCACGTGGTACACTCCCAAAGGGCCCCCCCCCCTTCGCCTTTCCCGCCCTTAGTTACCCCCCGTCCCTTGGACCCCCCCCTGCTGAAGCCCCCCATCCTCCTGTTTTCCCGCCCGTCGAAAGTTCCCGCCCCCCCCTCCCCCCTTGCGCGCGCTGGAAGCTACCCCCTTCCCCTTGGACGGACCTCCCCTGTCAGAAGCCCCCCCCTCATTTTTTCGGCCCCTCGGATGCTACCCCGCCCCCCTTTTCGCGCTGCGGAAGCGAGCCCCGCCTTCCCCCCGGGGGGGGGTGCTTAGCTACCCCGCCCCTTTGAAGCTCCCCTGCCGGAAGCCCCCCCCCCCATCCCCACCTTCTTGGCTAAGGGGGGGGGGGCTTGGAAGCCCCCTCCCACTTTGACTGAAGGAAGGAGCAACCAACAGATCGCCGAAAACCAAAAGGGCCGCCGAACACCGAAAGAGCGCGAAAACCAAAAGCGCCCCGAAAACAGAAGATACGCCGAAAACCGACAGGGCGCCGAAAACCGAAGGTGCGCCGAAAACCAAAAGGGCGACGAAAATCAAAGAAGCGCTGGAAACCAAGGGGGCGCCGAAAACTCAGAGGGGCGTCGAATATCACAAGGTCGCCGACAAGCAAAAGTGAGCTGAAAACGAAAGATGCGCCGAAGACCAAAAGAGCGCATAAAAACAAAGGGGCGTCGAAAAACAAATAGCGCCGAAAACCCAACAGAAAAGCCACAAACCCAGGGGTGCGCCGAAAACTAAAACAGGCTACGAAAACCAGCGGGGCGCCGAAAACCAAAGATGCGCCGAAAACCAAGAGAGCGCCGAAAACGAAAGCAGCGCCGAAAACCAAAAGGGCGCCGACAACCAAAACGGCGCCAAACACCAAAAGAGCACCGAAAATCAAAGGGGCGCCAAGGGGCGAAAGGGCACCGAAATCCAAAACGGCGGCGAAAACCCAAACGGCGCCGAAAACCACGAGTGCGCCGAAAACCACGGGGGGGCGCCGAAAACCGCGAGGGCGCCGAGAACCAAAGGAGCACCGAAGACCGAAAGAGCGCCGAAAACCGCGAGTGGCGCCGAAAACCGAGGGGGACGCAGAAAGCCAAGAGGAAGACGAATGCCAACAAAAACGCCGAAGACAGAAAAGGGCGCCGAAAACAAACGACGCGACATAAACCAAGAAACGGCGACGAAAACCAATATCTGAAAATTTTCCTCGGGTGGAGGGCTCAGGGTGAAATCCATATGGACTTTTGCACCTCGAAATGAATCCGTCTTGTGATTCACCTCTTGCAGATTCAAGCCTCGAGAACCAATCGAAACGGCATTTCAGATTTCACCCTTTGCCCTCCACCCAAAGAAAATGCTCGGAATATAACACATACTACTCTGCTGAAAGGGGCGTTGAGTGCCAAGACGGCGCTGAAAACCCGAGGGGCGCGCTGAAAACCCGAGTGGCGCCGAAAACCATGAGGAGCGCCGAAAACCAAAAAGGCACCGAAAACAAACGACGCGCCGAAAACCACGGGGGCGCGAGAAACCAGGAGCGCGCCGATGACCAGAAGGGCGCCGGAAACGAAAGGGGCGTCGATTGCAGCAGTGGCTCCGAAGACGGACAGGGCGCCAAGAACAAAAAAGGCGTCAAAAGCCAAGAGGGCGCCGAAAACCAAAGGGGCGCCGAACGCCAGAAGGGCGCCGAAGACCACGGGGGCGCCGAAAACCAAGGATGCACCGAAAACCAAAAATGCGCCGGCTTAAACCAAAAGGGCGTCGATGACCAACAGGGCGCCGAAAGCCCGCGACGCGCCGAATTCAAAAATTCGCCAACGAAAACCAAACCGGCGTCGATGGCCAACAGGGCGCCGAAAACCAAAAATAACCGAAAAACCAGGGGCGCGCTGGAAGTCGAAGGGCGCCGAAAACAACCGGAGGGGCGTCGGAAACCAAGGCGCCGAAAACAAAATAATCGCCGAAAACTACAGGGCGCCGAAATCCAAGAGGGCACCGCAATCCAAGAGGCGCCGGAAACCAAGGGGGCGCCGAAAACCAAAGCGGCGCCGTGAACCAACGACGCGCCGAAAACCTATGGGCGCGCAGAAAACCCCAGAGGGCGTCGAAGACCAAAGAAGCGCCGAAAACCGCGGGGGCGCCGGAAACCAGAGGAGCGCCGAGAACCAAAAGGGCGCCGAAACCAAGGCGGCGCCATAGGCCAACGGGGCGCCGAAAACCAGGAAGGCGCCGAAAGCCACATGGGCGCCGAAAACCACGAGGTCGCAGCGCGCCGAAAACCAAAGGAGGAGAATAACTGCGAAGCACCCCCTTCAGACAGAGCCCTCCAAGTGGACAAGCAGACGGAATGAGAGGGCGGGGGGGCGGGCTGGCTCCGAGGCCCCCCCCGCCCCGAGAGTGGGCCCGGGCTTGCCCCGGGCCCCGAAGGAGGGGGGGGGCTTCTGCGCCCCCCCCTATCGAATTAGCCAAGCACCCTCCAGCTACAGACGCCAAACGAGAAGGGGGGGGTGCGGCGTCGGAAGCCCGTCGCGGGCGGAAGGGGGCGGCGGCGCATGGGCGGGGTCGGCGCCCCGCCCCGCTTGGCCGCGGGGGCCCGGGGCAACGCTGGCCCGGCCCCCGGGCCCCCCTCGGCCGGAATCGGGCTTCGGCCCCCAATCTTAGACTGTGAATCCCCGGCGGCGCGCGGGCCTGGGGCCGAGCGCGCCGCGCGGGGCTCGGAGGGGATGAAACCGAGGGGCTTGCTCCCGAGACGACCCGGCGCCTTTTTCGGCCAATCGACGAGTGGGCGTATGCCGTGGGGGTCGCGCAGAATGCCTCTGGGCCCTGCCCGACGGGCCCGAAAATGAGCATCGCGCTGGGTGGCTCTAGCAACAAATACTTTCTCTGCTGATCCCTTCCTCCGCCCTGCGTCGTTCGGCGCGCGCGGTAGATCTGCCGGCGAGGCACGCGGCTGCGCTGCGCCCGCGCGGTGCTCGACGCCGCCCGGGGGTGTTGCCCCCGCATTGTTCTCGAAGAGTTCGCGCCCGCGTTGAGCCCCGTTCGACCTCGGGCGCCATGGTGCTCAAAAGGGTTCCGACATGAAGATCAACGCGCGGCCTCCGCGGTGGCCGAGGCGC